TTTTTTTTTTTTTTTTTTTTTTTTTTTTTTTTTTTTTAGGTTCTAATTATATCCAATTAGAACCTAATCCAGAGAGTGCAATATTCTCCTCCACGTGGCCTTTCTTTTACTTAAAACTAGATCTTCCCTACAGGCAAGACTGGAGAGTACAGCTCATTATTTTGAAGTCATTAAATTTGTCAGAGTCACTGGACATGTTTCTGTGGGGCTTCTGCTACTAAAGTGCTGGTGTAGAGGACTAATCAGGGGTAGGGATATAGAAAGTGTGGAAGAATACATTCTGTGGGACTTGCTTGCTTTTACTTTGCTGGAGAGGTGATAGACCCTCTGCAGTACTACACAGAGCTGCCTGAAGTGTCTGTCTTTGGAGGGAGCAGTGGGGACAGGTTCTGTAGTGCTTTAAGGGAGGAAGGTGGACAGTTAGGTGAAAATGCTAAAAAACCAGGTGTTTGATTGTAATGCTAACTGAGGACCTTAGAAGGGCAGATTATCCTTAAGATAGGTGTACTACTTCCCTGTCTTTCCCTTTAGTCTTTCTGCCTAAACTAGGTCTTGTCTGCTTGTTTCCACAAACTCTGGGGTCAGGAGAGATAAGGCATGATTGCACGTGCATTTTTCAGAGGTAATACCGACTTAAGCAGGCTGTGGCCACTTGTTCCTACCTCTGTTCCAACCTCTCAGGTGTGTCAGTAGAGCTGTTGTGCAGCTAGAGAACTGGCTCAGAGTTGGTGTTATTTTTGACATCCATTTTTCATTGGTCAAGGTTCATATGCAGCAGGGGTGCAAGCAAATGGCAGGAGTTAAGAAAATAACTGTTCAAACTATAATCTCTGCAGAAGAAAATGCATGTCCCTCCCACTCTGAGTGTTTTTTAGGTCTGTGCTGTTGCTTCCATTATTATCCAGTTTCCAGATCCTTTGAGGGGAACCTGGGCATTAATGAAGACTGAGGGACATAGGGTGGTAAGGAGGGAGCATCAGTTTTGCAGGGTGAAAAGATTATTCTAGGGTACACTTCTGCATTTATAGGCTAAAGTTGTTCTTTTGTAGTATACAAAAAAGATAATCTCAAAATTCCAGAGTCATGGCTCTAGTGCATTAGTGGAGCGAATCGGTGAGCTCGCTACTTAAGTGAGACTTAACTGGGCTTTATAAATTGACAGCACTTCTGTGAATGAGGAGCAGCAGCAATTGTGCAACCATTTGGGATCTGCCTTGTAAATGCCACAGTTGTGTCCGTGCTGCTCCTGGAGTTGTGTGAAGAAGGCCCAGGTGGGCTGGGACAACACTTGCAGGCCAGTGGCAGGCCCCAGCACGGCCGCCCCGGCTCTCTTTCTCTGGGGGGGCTGCCGCCCCGGCTCT